GAAAGTAAAATTTAAAAAGTTATATTATCAAGAAGACTACTTGTGGACTCACAGTTTGGTTCTCTGTGCCTGGTGTCCTTGATTATGTTCAGTGGATAAGAATCCCTGTCTACTGAACTTCTCTTGAACTTGGACAGGTTTAAGCTCAGATTTAAAATCCCTGGATTCTGATGACCCTTGCAGAAATAGCTCTGAACAAGTAATAGGATTGACATAAGAGAATTAACAAAGCCTATTCATTAACAGTAAGCCAAAAACAAACAAATAAACTAAAAAAAGAGCTTTGAGTCCTGTGGAAAATACAGTCTTTGTCCACCTATTGTATATTATTTGAGAAAAAAAAATTTCTCTTTTCAGCATGGACTGATATCTAGTCTCAAAAATTCACTTGCCATTTTCTGAAAGAAAAAAATAGTTTTTCTGATCAGGAAATTTTTCTTGATTTAATGTAATAACTATCCTTCCCAGCTTCATTTGACATGGTCCATTTTTCATCTTAAATTTACGAAGCAACTTTTTCTTCTCCCTTTTTAGTGCCCTGAAATGTTTTGTATCTTAAAATCTCTGCTAATCCTTATTATTATTACTATTATTTTTATTGTTTTGGCAAAAAAAAAAAATCCTAGAAAAGTTTGAATAATCTTTAGAAATGTTACTGACCTCTGCTTTATTGTATTTTTCTTAGCCCTTATTTTTTCCATTATGTTGGTCATTTCACTTTTCTTCCATGTGCCATTTAAAACAATGAAATTTTATCCAACAACAATTTATTAACCTCCTACCCGTTGCTAGAGAATGTTTACCAAAAATATTACTGCAGCCTTCAGAAATTAGACTTTTACAATGAGACTGTTGGTTCAAGACTATCCCATAGATATATATTCAATGATCTAAGAATAATCAACTTATAGTACAGGATGCATCAAATGATCGAGAGACACCAATTCTTTTTGCAAAAAAAGAAACACAGGAAGCAACAGCCAAAAACCCATAACGTTGGCTAACTACTAGGAATGGGCAGAAAGGAAGGATTGGGGATGAGGAACTGACTCCTTTCTAAGTATAATTTTTGTACAATTTGATTTTTGCAATTATGCTAATATTTTACAAACCCAAACTAAACTCACAAATTAAAGCCAATAAGAATGAAGAGACTCTAAAATGGTATATATAAACGGAAGCAAATGAAACTAAGTTTTTCAGATGAAAAATACAGCCACATTGAAGGTGAGGGGTAATGAGCCCAAGTGACTTTTGCATACAATATTTGAAAACTTAACCTTAGAATAATGACCAAAAGAACTTTACAGAAATATTGAACTCTAATTAGTAGGACTGTTTTCCGCAGTGTTGCAGGTTAGCAATCTGTTATTACTTTATGTAACATGCAAATAAATGTATACATTGAGAGTAAATATACATTAAGGGTAAATATACATTGAGGGGAAAATAGTTTAGTTTCTTACCGTTTTTTATTGGAATACAACTGTGCCCTGGGGGGAAGATTAGTGTGAAGCCAGTGATTTTGGATTGGGATGGGAGGTATCAGTATGTAATCATGGCTCCTTCCTTCCTTCCTTCCTTTTATTCCCCCTTCCGTCCATCTGTCTATCTATCATCTATCTACCTACCTGTGTAGGTGTGTGTATATACAAACATACATACATATATTTCCTAGTTCTGCATGCTGAGCCACAGAAACAACATTCCAGTAGCAGTGAGTATACTTAGAATCCAAATTTTGGTTTCTAAGTAACATCTTCACTAAAAGGAATGAGGGCTAGATCAGAGAAATAAAAAATGAGCCTGAAATGTCATAATGAAAATTAATAAATGCTCAAAAATCATGAGAACCTGTCAAAATAATATAGGAACTGGCTTGAAAGGACCACAGTGGTCAAATTTGGGACAATTTAAGCATCAAAATAAAAGATAATAATAATAATAGATTATATTTTATAGAATAAAATAAGATTCTATGAGTATATTCTGATTTAAATAAGTAACTAAATAATAAATAAATGGAGAAGAAGGAAAATCCCTTCTTTTCAGTAAAACAATCAACATTTAGAAGGAATGAAAGAGTTAAGAATCACTATGTGGCAACCATCATGCTAATATTTTTTACTGGCAAAAAATAACCAAAACTTATTCTATTCACAATTCTGTGGGTCAGAAATTTAGGCAGGGCACAGCAGGGATAGTTCATTCCTACTTTATGATGTCTGGAGTCAAAAAGCTGGGGATAGCTAGGGCATCTTGACCGGGGCCACTTGTCTGGAACCTTGAATCTTTTGTACATGGCACCTATTGGACTGTAAAGGCCAGAATGGCATCTTCATTCATATGTCACATGTTTCCTGGGCTGTAATAGCCAGAGATGACTGAGATCTTCTCTCTATACATGTCATTCCCAGGGCAATAGGACTCCTTACATAGCTGATGACCTCTCCCGCCACCCCATAGCAAGAGCTGCAATAACGTGTTGCAACTCTTGGTCCAAGAGACCAAGAAGGAAGCTGCAAAGCTTCTTACAACCTCACCTCAGAAGTCCCAGAATCACTTTTGCAACATTGTGTGGGTCAAGAAAGTCATTAAGACCAGCTCAGATTCAAGGAGAGTGCAGGAAGAGGCCCAGCCTCTTGATGGGGGAATGGCACGTATGTACAGAGGGAAGAGATCGATGACTTGACTTTAGAGGCAGGTTATTACAATGAATAGCATTCTTTTTTTTTTTTTTTTTTAGGGGAGGCAACCCCTGGTTGACCTCACAGATTGCAAGAACTTGTCAATTTACAATCCCTTATTATTTATTTTTTACGCCTACAGCACCTGGTCTTCCTAGGTAGTCTCCCATCCAAGTCCTAACCTGGCCCGACCCTGCTTAGCTTCCAAGATCAGATGAGATTGGGCTTGTTCAGGGTAGCATGGCCGTAAACTCGAATAGCATTCTTTAACTAGAGTTTTCATTCACCAATAACTCTTGGAGAAGTTACCCAAATTAGCCCATATAGATCTACAAAATTTCTTCTCATTATAGTTCATATTTAGCCAAAAATTATATTCCAGGGTGAATCAGAGTCCCAAAGATTCCTTAGGTAAACCCTCTTCCTTGAAGTTGCAAATTATACCCATGACAGTTTTTTTTAAAAATTAATTAATTAATTTTTTATGATGACTTTAGTTAACAAAATCCAATAAGTTTCAGCTATACACTTTAACAGTAAGATATATATATATATGTGTGTGTGTGTGTGTGTGTGTGTGTGTGTGTGTGTGTGTGTATATATATATATGCCATATATATATGCCATGACAGCTTTTTTAAAAGTGCAGTTCTCAACTAGTGGACTCAGAATCACCTGGGTGCTTGTGAAAAATACAGGTTCCAGGTCTACTGCAACAGAATTTCATGGGTAGGTCATAGAAATCTGCATTTTTAACTAGTCATTTCCTACTTATTGCTAAAGGTTGAAAATCAGTACCCTGAGCACAAGCCAGAAGTTTATATTGAGTGGAGGAAAATGAGAGGTGGAATAATAAATCACCTCTCTGGTTTGCTATGGGAAAGAGAAATTGAACCACATAATCATAAAATCAGAGTTAGACACATCTCAGAGATCTCCTAATCTTAAATATTCCATCAGGATTACCTGAAGAGATTCACCTGTTGAATAAGTCAGAATTTCTGGATGTTGGGTCACCTATCGGCATTTGTAGATAGCTGTGTTGTATGTCATGTACCTACGGTGAAGAATCCCCCTCCGCAACCAAATCCCTTATTTTACAGAAAAGGAAACCCGGGGCAAGTAAGTTTACCTCATGCATCTAGGGTCTCACAAATTCTGGTGACCGAGAATTTCCCAGTCATGACCAGATGGCCAGTGCTCTCTCTACTTAAAAGTTATTCTAGAAGGGTCGATTTTGGTTGGAAAGTGTTAATGCTAGAAACACTTTGAGAATGACGTGTTTTCATAATTGAGAATGAAGCGTTATTGGTAAGTGGTTCTTTCTAAAAATAATTCTGTATTTAGTGTCTGTATTTCTATAAGAACTAACAGGGAAAAGCTGCCCGATCTCTGACGATAGCAGTAACACTGGCAGGAAGCACAGGTTTAATTACACACACAGCTCTTCCTATTCTCTTTTTCCCTCAGGTGGTTTTAAAAACCAACCTTTATGCATCTCTACGTGAGTAACTAATCAAGGCTTGAACATTTGTATTTTTTTACACCCTCAAGCTTGTATGTTCTCAGAACTATCGTGGTCATGTTTCACTCAGGTAGGAATTAAGAATGGATGCTAAAACCGTTGTGTGACAGTTTGATGAAGAGCAGGATATCTACACAATTTCAAAGTATCACCCCACAAATTACTGATTAATTACAAACAGAAAAATAACAAATTACAGTGGAGAAATCTGATGGAAGAAACCTAATAAAGTGATCAGTTAACGTCATCAGTGATGAGACAAACTGACGTCATGTGCTGAGAAAGATACAACATCACCCTTGTGGAATTCTAACCAAAATACATAGTCTGAATCTAATCGTGAGGAACTATTAGACAAAACCCAAATTGAGGGACATCCTACAAAGTAACTAGTTTGTCATGAGAAGGTTGTGAAAGAGTATGAAGAACTGTTTCAGACTAAAGGAGATTAAGGGGATATGGCAGCTAAATGCAATATGTGATCCTGGATTACAGGATTCTGAATTGCAATACCTCTTGGCTCTATTCTTGGATATCATTAAGACAATTGGTGAAATTTGAATAAGGTCTGTAGATTTGATAATAGTATTGTGTCAATAGTAGTTCTCTGATTTTGACAATTATATTGTGGTTATGGAAGAGAATATTCCTGTTCTTAGAAAATGCACATTGAAATATTTGAGGTAACAAGGCATCATATATTTCTAATGATTCTGATTAAGGAAAACACACACACACAGACACACATATATGTGTAAAAATACACAATTGTTTGTAACTTTTAAATTGGAAATAATTTTAAATCTAAAAGTTACAAGAAAAGTACAAGGAACTTCGCTCTATCCCTCCCCAGATTCCCTA